CTGCCGATCACTGTCGGAACTGTGACTGTGTGTGAGGTGAGGTGAGGTGAGCTGAGCTATAGAGTAGACTCGACAACATTTTGAAATTGCTCTTATTGCCCCTATTTCAATATAGTTTCGTGACTATAGAGGTATGAAACCTGAGCTTAGATTGTGATTATTCTGTCCATGTATAGTTGTATTCTGAATTTCGATAATCATTTTTCAAAGTAAAGTTTCCACAGTGTATTGCCACCGCAGCTGAGCGCTGCCGTCGGAGCTGAGTGTGTGAGCATGGAGTAGCGGTGACCTGAGTAGCCAGGCCTGTCCGTGGTGTGAGGAGAGTCTAAACAACACTTTGAAATTGCTATTATTGCCCCGATTTCAATATAGTTTCGTGAATAGATGTATGAAACCTGGGCTTAGGTTGTGATTATTCTGGCCATGTATAGTTGTATACTGAATTTCGATAATCATTTTTCAAAGTAAAGTTTTCACAAGCAAAGTAAAGTTTTCACAAGAAAATCAGACGGTCGTCATGGTCGTTTAAAAACATGATAATACTTTTAGTATGATACAGTTCTTGCATCAAATCAATTTTTAAAGTATGGGGGGGGGGGTCAGGTAACTCAAAGCGATTTGAGTGCAGGCGTGGTGTCCACGGGTACAAAGGGCTGAACCCCCGAAAGCTCGGGGGTTTTGGGCATTTAATTACGGTCAGATGAGCATATTTTTAATACCTTATTTGTGACACTGGCAGGTCGATCACTAATTGGCGTAGGGTCCATAGTAGAGTTGCGTACCAACTACGCTGAGCTGAGAGTACGCTGGCCTACGTTACCATACCCTGAGGAACACAAAAAAGTACGCAAGATGGACGCAAACAATTTAATATGTTTAACAAAATTCGCGTACTTTCGGCGTAGAAACTTGACGCAGAAAGTACGCCTTTTTTTACGTTACACTACGCTACTAAACTAAACAAACTGCATCTTTAAATGAATTAATGAAAAATTAGCCCAAGAAAAATGAGCCCCCGAAAGATAAAAAAGTAGCCCCCCCAAATTTTCCCAAAATTTGATATAGATCGAGTCCCCGAAAAAAAAATCTTTCACTGGATTCTACGCTCACAGTCCCACACACAGTCGAGTCAATTTGTGCACAAACCGTCCGATTTTTCGCGTAAAATCTTTACTTTGAAAATAATTGTACACATTTTGTGAACAATGCCAACATAATCATAATCCAAGCCTCTGCATATGTAGTCTTTTCATGAAACTACATTGAAATCACAACATTAATAATGCAAATAAATCGTAATTATCGAGATCCTATCTGACATAGTTTGTTTTACGATGCGCCATTTATGGTCAAACAGCATATATATAAAAATTCTCTATATAAAGATAATCTATTTTTTTTTTGGATAGCACATAGGCCTCTATCTATCTATCTATTTGGCCCCCTCCCCTAGAATCCCGTGGATTTTCCACGGGTCCTGCTAGTAATATACTAATACTACTACTACTACTACTACTAATACCACTTGCACTACCCACTACTACAGGTACTATAAATGATAATAACAAAAACAACCTTTTACACCATAACTGAACAAAGCACTAAAGAGCATTATGTTGCCGGTCACTGGATTCAGTAACGATTCTGCACTTTACAGTGCACATTCTCCACTCCCATGGGGAGTGGACCAGCAAATTGCCTGTTTGCAAGCACCCCGATGTTTATAATCGCGCCACAGTGACATTGGAACCCCTAAACACACCTGGGTGGAGAAGGGCAATGTAGATATAATGCCTCGCCTCAAAGACCTTCATTGTAAATGCTGTGCCGGGGTCTGAACCCACAACCTAAATGCATTCCCTGTCAAAAGATTAAAGTATTAAACGACTTTGACGACAACACCTCTGCTTTTAAGTTCAAATGTTCATGGAGCACTACAGGAGTAAGGGGGTTAATAAAAGTATGAATCACGGTGATATATGGTAATGGATCAATACACTCTGGTGTCATCTATAGTGTCCTTGATGATGTTTTGCTAAAGGGGTATCAGGCAGCTGCATCTGCGCATAAATTATCCCTGAGGGGCATTATCGTATAAATGTGTTCATATGGATCCAATCAAGCAACCAAGAAGCCGCTTGAACAGGGAGAAAAAAACTGCCAGGCAAGAGCAATTCCCCTTAAGCTACCAATATCTACAAGTACATGACCTTTACGATACATGGCATAATTAAACAGTCAGTTGTATTTCGTTTTTGAGATTTTCTCTTTATAAAACTACCAGAAATGTGACCCTCAGGAACATGAATTTATAGAAGTGACAGAGGTATTGCCTTCTAGTCTAAGGTCAAGGATTACCTTTTTTCAAAGTGAAAAGCTGATAGATCGATTCTTTGTTGTAGATTAGAGGTGTAGCTGCAGTGTCCTAATTTTCAGACTGAAGGTATTCACACTCTACTGGAGGCAGGGTTCATGTTCAAGGTGATCATTGAATCCAATCTCATTTAAACCTCAAACATTGTAATTGTATATGATTTCAAAAGAGAAAACCCATTATGTCCTGACATACATGAAGCTTAGATATGTAATATATACACATGGCAGATATGCCAACCTCTTGACACAAAAAAACAAAACAGACTGAGCATCCTAAAAAAATCAGATTTTGGAGAGAAAAATCAGATTTTCAAGAAAACTCGACACTCGGCCCCGGGCCAGTAAAATTTCAGAAAAATGTTTGCTCTTTCATAAAAATTTAATGAGAAAATTGTAAAGCAAAGTTTTTGTTGGGGCTGCGGGGTTTCACTCTTATTATCGTACTAAATACGATTTAATTGTACTAGTGGCATCTCTGAAATGGTCTACTCATTTCTGATGATAATAAGAATCATACAAGAAATATGTTTCATATATTAAGACAAATTTGGTACAAGTAAATGTTGCAATATGAGTAACAGCTCAGTCACTATTATGGGGAGTCGTCCTTGCTCTAGATTTCATTTCATTATAAGTAACATAGCTGATTGAAAATTGTTAGGTAAAATATGACTTTTATAAATTGTCAGCAGCTCAAGATGGTCAATGAATCCCATCTCATTTAAGCCAATGAATCCCATCTCATTTAAGCCAATGAATCCCATCTCATTTAAGCCTTCGATATTGGATATGATTTTGAAAGAGAAAATAATTAAGGAAAGCAGAAAGAGACAGGAGAGGAGAGAGAGAGAGAGAGAGAGAGAGAGAAAGAGAGGGGAGGAGAGAGAGACAGAGAGAGAGAAAGAGAGAGAGGGGAGGAGAGAGAGAGAGACTGAGAGAGTCTAGAGAGAGAGAGAGAGACTAAGAGAGTCTAGAGAGAGAGAGAGAGAGAGTCTAGAGAGAGAGAGAGAGAGAGAGTCTAGAGAGAGAGACGGTATACAAACACAAAAAACAGCAAGAATCTCTAAGGATAGAATTAATATATTTTGTCATCAATCTACAGCTCTGTAGAATTAAATCACAAAGACCTAAAAAGCGAACTTGTTTTGAATACACAACTTTACATTAACATATATATCAGCAAATCAACATGACATAATTTAATGAAAATTTCAGTCAAACAAAAGGGGTAATGCATTTATATGTACACATATGTACATGTAGTCTTTGGTTTTATAAAAAAGAAGACATCTCCAATTTTATTCAGCGAGGATTTTATTAGATTAGCAGTGGCTAACTAATTTGAATGTTTTAACAAAAAGCAAACATTTAAAGGAACATACTTTTTTTTTAATTATGCCACATAGCAACAAGCTAGACAACCACACATGTATATCCAATATATGTCATACATGATATGTACAGATGTACGTGTAGTTAGCGTGGTGTCTGGACTGGTTTGTGGAAGTCATTAGGATCTCATTAGCACCATTGCTGTTAATGCACAAATCATTAGCATGGAAATTGGAAAGCAACAACCCCTTTCTCTATTTAGGATTTATCTATTTATTTATAACAGGACAGTGTATATATATATATGGAGAGAGTGGGTATTGTCAATGTGTCATGTCTGACAAATAAATACTGCATGCAGAAATTCATTGAGATGATTAAGCCTGCAATACACAAGTACGTGTAGGGCAGGGGTCAGTCTTCCGACCCCCCCCCCCCCTGCTTATCATACCATTTATATCACAGACCTCAACATTTATCAGGAAAAATAGCAATGTTACTTTCTTATAAGAATTCATTAAATTAAAATATTAAACTTTTAAGCAACTATTGTGTCAATTTTCTTCTGAAGGTGTCAGAGGTTAAGTTACAAAAAAAGATTTTTAAGAAAACATATTTTTATCTTCTTTTATTCAAATTTCTATATTAAACTTTTTGATTTTTTTCTGTGTTGAAAAAAAAAGTAATTCAGGATTTGTTGGGAGTCTTATCTATCAACCAATATTCAGATAATAGGAAAGATACTGTTTGCAATTTAGTACAGATTTCCACACACTGTACACTACATATATTGTCAAACTGGATTAATTCACAGAATCTTATTTGTCTCCATTATGAAAAGTCTGATATTTGAACAAATTATATCAAAAATTCAAAATGTTAACATTATTTGAAGGAATAAAGGAAGGGGAGTGGCTCTTAATGACCCCCCCCCCCCCCCCCGTGTTTGTTTGTTTTACATAACAGCGAAATAAACAATATTAATTGCAGGAGTTTGTAATTGTAAATTCCTTGGGGGGGGGGGGTGCTTGCTGGCTGAACCCTCAAACCCTCCTCATTCCCAGTGCATGGAGAAAAAAAGAAGGATGTTTACCGTCCCCAGGGTTTTTTTAGGGAAAAAAATTATCTTTGTTATGAACCTAATAACCTATATGTATAGTATATAATTCTACACAAATGTACTCGAAGGAGAAAGTCTATGATAAGTCGGGGGTGGGCAAATGAGAGAAAGAACACTTATTGATTTGAAGGCCTACATATAATGTAATACCACAAAAATGTAGAGTACTCACAGGGAAAGAGAGGATGTTTCTATTGATGAGCTGATGCATTCTGGCAGCAGGTGAATTTGCTCTGACGGGAAGTGAGCTCTGGCGTGGGATTGGAGACTTGAGCGCCTGCATCCGCAGAGGAGAGACGGACGCACCTGCAGCATCTTTGGTTGCCATGGCAAGGGCTTCTCCTGCTGTCAGGTTGGAGGCAGTAGATCTAAGATGATGTCATAACAAAAATTGAGATGAAGAATGCTATTTGTTGAATAACAGCAATATTAATAATAATGAATAACTGAGAAGTCAAGAAGAAGAAATAAATAGGAAGATTGAGAAAGAAAAATTAGAAGCAAAAAGAATGAAAAAAAGGAGAAGAATGAGAAAAAAGGAGAAGAAGAAGAAAAAAGGAGAAGAAGAAGAAAAATGGAGAAGAAGAAAAAAAAAGAAGAAACAAGGAGAAGAAAAAAGAAGAAGAAAAAAGGAGGAAAAGAAGAAAAAAGAAATAGAAGAAAAATAGAAGGAGAAGAAGAAGAAGAAGAAGAAGAAGAAGAAGAAGAAGAAGAAGAGGAAGAAGAAGAAGAAGAAGAAGAAGAAGAAGAAGAAGAAGAAGAAAAGAAGAGAAGAACAACGAATAATAATAATAATAATGATAAAAACAGTATTACATAAATGGTTCGAACCCCCATATCTTTAGATCCACAGTCCAGTGACATACCTGTATCAACGGGACCGTCATTTTCTCTACACAATAATATTATGCCTTGTAGTAGTACTTGGGGCCAACTACTACTGCTAAAAGCACCGTAGTAGGCCAAATCACCGGTACATTGCAGAAAGACCAATTTGAAGAACCATTGCTTTATTTGAACTACATGTACCATTTACACTACTGGGCCCTGTTTCATAAAACTTGATATCAATAACAAGTTACAAGCTAGTGTTATAAGCTAGTGTTATAAGCTACTGAAATCAAGGCATCTGATTGGCTGAGAGCAAATTTATCATAGAAATTCGTCATTTGTTATAGATAAAAAGTTTTATGAAACGGGCCCCAGGTAAAACCAAAAAAAAAAAAGGATGGTGTTTGACAAAAAAAAAAAATTGTGGCAAGTTTCTGTATGCGTTAGCACGGAAGTGAAGAGTCTCTTTTACACCAAAAACCAGAATAAATCACCGTTGTTTTGAGAGCGAGCATTTACACGGTGGAGTTTCTGAGTTTCTGCCACCAATTAAAAAAGCACAGGAGGTGGGTTATTCGATTGTGATTTTTTTTTTTTGTGTTTATGGGTACATGACTGTAGTTGCCTAGCAACTTTCAACTGAAATCTGAGGAAAACTGACAATTTTTGCCTGCAATGTAAACGCCCTTACTCTCTGTACATGTTGGGTGAGCATTCACAAAGGTTTTTTTGCAGTAGTACCAGGTGAAAGCTTTATTGAATGGCCATTATATCTTCCTTCAAATCATTCTGCTCAAGGGGCATTAAAAGGAATTAGGAAAAAGGGAGAATATCAAGTTTTTCTCTTCACAAACCATGATTGAGATACTTTTTTTTATACTGCCTTACCTCTTAAAGCCCCTTTAAAGTGTTGGGGCCCCAAAAATTGCAACAAAATTGACGACAACATTTCACGTAAGTGTTGTAATAATGTGAAAGAGGATGTTGTTTATTTCAAAATGAATGTGTTTGAATCCAATATTGATGAAAGAATACAGAATTTAGGTTTTTTTTGCACGCCGAAAACCTCATTTTTGATTAATTTCCGGATTCAAACAAATTCATTTTGAGAATCCTTGCAGTATTCAGTGATAAATGTCATCCTCTTTCACTTGATTGTACAAATAAAGTGAAATTTTGCCATCAAAATTTTGGGGCTCCCAACACTTTAGAGAGGGTTTAAAGTTACTCAGTAACATTGCCTCAGATTCTGAAACAAAATTCTAGATTTAGCTCATGCTGCAATCATAATTTTAATAAACCTTTAGGTCAGTCAGGAATCCCTTGACTTTTACAAGCTAATCGCCTGTCTGATTATCAACATATTTATGATTGAAAATCAAAATTTAATTTGTCATTTTCCTAACGGTCTACAGTATTGGGGAAAATGAGTATGGTAAAACTGGTCACTCAACGATTGTTACTTTTTTGAGGCACTTCATTATCATTTTGAAGCGCAATTTTGTTAGGGTTTCACTCCCACCATATCACAGACACTGATAACACTTAGGGCCATGCATCTCAGATTTAACATGGTTTAACAATGCCTTTAAGAAAAAATGGAAATAGGAAAAAATTGTAAGGGAAACAAATTGCTTCTCCTCCCTCTCTGATACATGTACATCTACAATGTATGCTGACCAGAGTTTTGTAACAATATTCCAATATTATTTTTTCTTGGGGGGGGGGGGGGGGGGAGGTCCTACTATACTCCTCCTCCAATGAATCAACTCGGCAGTTAGCAATTCTGGTGTTTAACGATATTCATACATAATTGTACATAATCATATAGAACTCAGGAAATTAAAGGTCAAAATGTCAGGATAAAGGACTTCTGTTATTTCAAACACCAACATACTCATCCCCCCCCCCCCTTTCATAAAATTAATTGATCCAACCTGGTCCTGATTAACATAACTTTTATGGTAAAAGAGAAAGCTTGTATAACTGTACAGTCAGTTCAGACCTTAATTACAACCACAGACACCTGTCTAGAGCAATATCCTGGTTTGAAGGAGAGAAAAAGACCACACAATTGTCAGGAAAGACCTACATGTACATGTAACAGGAAGAGACATTTCCTGCATTTTTTTTCTGAAAAAAAAAAAATAATGATCAAACTCGAGAATTTCACATGTACTCAAGGTCTAAATTTCTGAACTATCCTGGTCAGTGTCAAATCTCCTTAAAAGAATACATGTACATGCGGTATGTGGAAAACAAACCAGCCTACTTTCACATAGGTCTATTAAACATTCCAAGGAAAAAGCAAATATAAACTAAATTTATAGTGCACTACTGAAACCTTTTCAACTACATGTACAGTATGTATACTTCCATTTCATCTGCTTGAAACTGATTCTTCAGTCATGAAATGAAATAATCACAATTGTATTTTAAAGTAATTCTATGGTATATTCTACACAAATTTTGAAGTAGTTTGCATCTCTTAATCCAAATCTAATTCCCTGTACTATTTTCCTAAAATCACTTATTTTTAATCAGGTGATTCCTTGTCCTAAACAGCTTTAAAGCCAGACTTGACAAACACTGGAAGAAAGAGCAATATCATTCACCCTTCTCCCAGTTGACACTCCAATTATGACAATCCTGATATGACCCAGCAAGCAAGATACAGATGTACATGTAAAACGACTATGGTGCAAGACCCGGAAGCTGGGACATCCCCCCCCCCCCCCCTTGAAGTTAGACCTGGAAGCTTGGCAGCTGGAGACGGCTTTCTTCCAGAAGCTTTGGTATTCAAGGTATTCAAGGTATGATACATGTACATGTTGTAGATCTATATTCAACATCAACATCGAAGAGAAAGTACGTATACAACATGTTAGATCTATCCATATGTGCTGCACTGCTACCGCGCATGCGTTTTTTCACTTGTTGAATCGACGATACAACATAGATGAATTGGTTTAGGACAAGGAATCACCCTTTTTCCAATCAAAGACATCTTCAAATTATAATTTCAAGTGGTTAACCGGATGCCCATCAGAGGAGTCGAAAAACTTTGCAATTAAGTCTAACTTTTAATTACTAGACTAGACCCCTACTTTTTTAGATTTCCAAAAAATAGGACCAAACCCGCTGTTTGAATCGTTTCCCGGTTTACATGCTTTGTAAAAGTACGTAGATCTAGATCTAGACTCTAACTTTAGAGGTCTATTAGTCTATTGTAACTTTAATTAATTTTGAAGGCAAAGAAAGTTAGAAAGTTTCAAAATTTGCATCCAAAATTAATACTTCTAATCTAAGTTCTAGTTGGTATTATTACACACCATGTGCCCGGAAAGGTTGTGTATCCGGACAGTTGACTTCAAACAGTAATTTAAAGAAGTTTACAAGCAATTTTTCTAACGATATAACATGGCAGTGCACTCCTAACTGTTAGCGCGCAGCGCAATGATCGCCGGGCAGCGCTACCTAGAATAGGGGGTGCATCTCTTTCACTGTACCCCGACGTTTCGGGGTAAAAATAGATGGCATGCCGTTCACCACCGGCTCTTCAGTCTCGCACAACAATGTAACGAGTGTCGGTTCTTCGAATAAGCACACAAATACTTCCCACCTATAAAAAGATAAATACGCACGTAATATACACTTATAAGCTTACAACAAACAAAATGAAGGGGTTTCGATCTTACTGTAATAGTTCCTTACCTGTTTAATTCTTCAGCCATTTTCGAATTCTCCGCACAAAATTATGCACAGCGTTCGTATCAACGCTATGCAACCGTCAAACTGAACTTATCGACTGAAATGAATAAGTCGGACTTTCGTGGACCCTCGATACACATCATAGGTGCCTCCTACAATATTGCAGCTCCTTTTCATCACACAGTTTTGGATGCTGGAAGCCTGCAACGATGCAATCTGCTTTGTGCAGGCCAGCAAGTGAATGCTTCCAAGTTCCAATGCCCGGTTGTCTGCAATATTTAATTGTGTAATTTATAACGTCAGTTCAAGTTAAGCATGGTTTGAAATTGCAAAGGATTATGACATACCGATCCAGTTATAACATAATGATTCATAGCAAGAGCGTCAATTCCGGGGGGGGGGCAGGGGGACACGCCCCCCCCCCCCCAAGATTTTTCCTAAGGTGGAAATCATATCAAATGTACCCCATGTTTTGTCAGATAATAAGAGGAACCATCAGGGAGCAACGATTTTGTATACAAAATCTCACGAATTGGAGAAAAAAAAAATTAGTGCCTCCCCCCCCCCCCCCCCCCCCCCTCTTATTCACTGGCTGGCTGATTCGCCGCTAAATATTTCCTCACGAATTGGGCCCCCAAAAAGTAGTTATTGTGTCCCTCCCATGCTCAAGCTCGGGTTGACGCCCTTTCATAGCATGACCCACTGGCAAATAGAGGGTCCATCCCTAGCTAATCGGACCGGCCTCTCGTGTACCGTGCATACTTGCAGGCGAATAGGCATGAATGCCTTATGATGTCATAGAACCTGTTTAAAAGGGCCATTTGTCTACAGTGGCCACTTAAATGTTTCCCTTAAAATTGAAATTGAAAATAACGATGATAAAAATAATACGCTCCTTCATAATGATAATAATAATAATAATGATAATTAAAATGATATAACAACAACACAACAGTATATGGGTTTATAAAAGCTTCACTCTCTGATATCGGCGGTTGTTCCGCTGAGATTATTTGGTTCCTCTGACCGCCTCTATAAGGTTGACAAATGTCAGTTTTTATTAAAGAATGACCCACACTGAAACGGATGGCTCACTGGAACGGATGGCTCAAGACCGAGGTGCTTGGAGCGTGGACCTATAGTAGGTCTATGCTTGGAGAGACACTTGATATAGAATTCTGATTGGGTCAATGAACCTGTCATAAACTGACAGATCACTATTGATGATGACCCATATACCAGACGGTCATTTCTGTCTAATGCCCGTCTAGCCCTTATTAATCAGACCGTCAATATATCTCTCTCAAAAGAGCATTTTTACAATATTACTCCAGTCATCCGATTCATGCTTAATTAATTTAATTCCAGTCATGGATCAAGATTGTGATATTGATATTTTGAAATTTGTGACGATGCTTTTCAAAATACCGTTTAAAATCATTCGTCTCTCGTATTGATAGGCCTATAAATTTCATTCAGATCCAGACATTCTATTTAGAGCCCATGCCATTAAAAAGATTTTGAAAGGGTTGAATATATTATGCAACTCGCAGATATAATAAGGGTCTGCAACATGAGGGTCTGATTTTAATCTGGTGGAAATGCACAGATTAGATAGGTTATGGTTCAACAAAAAGCTCTGCTTGAAAATAAAAAGGTTGTTTTACTACCCTGCTTGGTATGAAAGGGGAATTAGAACAATACAGGATTTGCTTTACGATGGAACAAGTTTCAAAGAATTGTTTGAGTTACTAGTACTATTATAGTTTGACATACCATTTGGTGATAAAAGAAGAAAAACATTATTATGGCAATTCCTATGCATAGATTGTGGTCGAATGATAATGGAGATCCATTCGAATTCTTAAAAGAGAAACTATTGTTTACAACAACAAAATTCTCTAAACTCTAATTTTGAAAGAATGTCTATCAAAATTCAATATGTATAAATTTCTTACTATTGTGTACCAGATTCTAATCCAAATTTACATGGTCTTATATCTTTGATAAAAAATTAAGTCTAAATCTGAATATGTATACATATATTATATAAAATAGATCAAATTTGAAATGTAATTCTTTTTTTGATGATGGCTGTGCATTAAACCTGTTTGGAAGTCTGTCTGGAAGTGTAGGTTGATGTTATTGCTTCTCTATTGAAATAAATGTTTACATCGTAAATTTTACATCAAAAGCGCAATTTGATTTATTTCATATTGTCATCAACTTAAATGATAATCCATATCGTACTTCAGAATGTTCAAGGGGGTTAATTACAATTTACAATACTTGTTTAGGAGTACACTTTTTTGAAATACTCGTTAGGGTGTGAATTCGGGAAAACAACCACGCAAAATTCTCATTTAGGGGTGTATTTTGATTTCAGAAGAAATCATCGTTTAGGGGGTGTCTGAAAAACATGTGGTCACGTATGCTTACAGTATTGCTACATGACTGAGACCCCCCCCCCCCCCCCCGGGCTCGAAAGCTGTCAAATTTTAAGAGCGTGACGCCGAACGCGATAGTCGGATTTGCCCATAGAAATAATTGCCACGCCCTTTTTTGGAGTAGAGTGCAGTACGGGCAACTACGAATACAGTCGATTATTTCAGCAATCTAATTAACTTTTCATCATTTGGCCTACTGCTGAAAGTGAAATGGCATCTTCTAGCTCTAATGTGAGGTCAGCTTTATTGTTTTGCCACCCATCTATGGAAGGATTGGCTGAACATATTGCAAAGAAATGCTGTGCAGCAAATTCTGAGACGTTTATCCCGCTTGTAACTCCTGTTTCACCCTTTTCATTTGCCGAGGTTCGTGCCTATCCTTTACCAGTAGTCCCACCTGTCAGTAATTGCGTTACCTAAATTTCTTCTGTATTAAAATATCGATAGTTTTTGTTTACGTCCATAAAAGCATGAACTGTTTATATTTTCCATGTGCGTGTTATTAGCGAAGTGTTTGATGCGACTTATTATGTGTTGATAAAGAGAGATGATTAAGATTCTGGTGAATTGATTATCAACATTTTTTTTTAAGAAAGTGATGATGAGCATAATGAGATGGAATGATGATGATAATGATGATTACTGATGGTGATTGTGATGAGACCACTCCAGCAAAGCATAGAGAGTCAATGCTAAAGCGTATTGACCTCTAGCACTGCATACATGCTGTGAGGCAGGGACTTAAAAGTCTATACACATATATACACACCACACAATATCGCATAGACTGTACACAATCATGTCGATGCAGCTGTAAGCAAAGTTTAACACTTAGACTTACAGTGTACAATTTGAATTTTTAAATTATTCTTTTTAACATCAGTAAGTTGAAAAAAATGTATTTTACTGCTATTTAGGTGTCATCAATTGTCACTAAAGTACCAATTTTGAGTGAAATCAGTTGAGTTTTGTACAGTGGTGTTTGAAATGTTGAGAATCAAAAGCACAGCTTTTACTACACAGCCAGGATAGTGATGCTCCTATGTGTGGATGAGACTAGTATCTTATTTATGGCGATGTTGATGATGATAATAGTATTGATGGTTATCTGTTAATTGTGATAGATATGAGGATGATGGTGTATGAATTTGTTGATGATGTTGAAATTGTTGATGATGGATAATTGATAATGAAGACGGTCAATTCACAAAATAAGTACCAAACTTGAACAATTTCTCCAGAGAACCCTTCACATTTTTTGTGTGCACCCGTCAAATCCCCCAATTTCTGCCTTGAATCCTACAAGCCACAAATTCATGATCTGTGTGCTATCTTTAATCGGGTGACTCTGGGTATTGGTGCTAATGCATTATTTTGTTTACAAATTATGTTTACAAATTTCCTTATTTCATTCTGTTTTAAATTCTCCCCTCTAAATTAGGTCTTTCTCTATACTGCTACAGTTTTTTCATCTACAATACTTATTTTTTCCAGGAACCTATAATATGCAAGCACTGCTTTTTAATAGGTTCCTCACATGCTACTTAATCTATTATATGAATTGAGAATCATTGAGACGTGCTAATTTATACTACATGTATTGTATTTAAAAAAATTAAAAAATATTACTCTATTTTATTTTATTTTGTAAAATGCGGAACAATATAAACTTGAACTTGAACTTAAACTTTAACTTCTGATACTATATCTGCAGTCTGCAGCTGAACAAAGACGTGTGAAGAAGTTCCAGCAGGTTCAGTTTGTCAAGACGATTCAGTGGGACAAGTTTAAAGATGGATGGCCAAATCTTTTCATCGACAAAGTGAGAGAATGTGCGGGAAGGGACGGTGAGAAATTCTCTTTGTTTCCTTTTCATTTTCATTTATCTTGTTCACTAAGAGCTATCAATTCATATTTTATGCTGAATTTTTGTAGCCATGCTAGTTTTGTTTTTTTATAATTAAAAAAAAAAAAAAAAAAAATTAAATTAAAAAAAAAAAAATCACATGTAAAGGGTAATAGCCCTCCAAAAGGGGTATGTCTTATGAAAGGGCAAAAAACACAATAAAAAGGGTTACTATACTAGATATATCCTGATGTTGACAAACATATCAATTATTATATACCTCACTTAAGAAATCCAGCCATCTGATTGGTCGAATTGCATTCATAAACTTCAACTGTTCCTGTAAAATTCCCGGTAACCATGCTTAAAACATTTCAATATTTTTAATAACCATGGTTTTAAAAAAATAGGTCAGTCTCCATGGTTACCCCATAGGTTTACATGTTAAAAAATGGTTTGAGCGATGGAGGATACCATACGTGTGCGAAAAATTGGTCGGCAATTTCAATACAATTGAATCTCGATCGATCTTACCGACAATTTTATCTTGCATTGTTGACATGAAGACGAAAATAAACTCTCAAAAACAAAAAAACAACATCTGCCGATAGATCTTGATCTAAGTTCGTGCCAATATGCATTGCAAAAGTAAAAGAAGGGTCCGTTTCATGGAGCTTTTGCGAAGCATCCCTCACGCGGAGCCGTTTTCAATCCATTTTAATGTATACATGTATATTGGAGAAAACTGCAAAGCATGTTAACGGCGCGCGATAGCCGAGTGGTCTAAGCGTTGGTTTTCGATACACCTCTTGTTGTACGCAAGAGTTCGAATCCCGTCTTCGACAAAAATGTAAATTATTTTTTATTTTTTATTTTTTAGTCTATTTTTTTTTGGCATATAAAAGTATTAATGACTGCTTTAATATTCGAGAAATAGTTGTTTTCATACGCTCTCGGGAAGGTTACAATTGGGCTATTCCCCTCGGCAAGCCTCGGGGAATAGCACAATTCTAACCTTCCCTTGAGCGTAATAAAACAACTATTTCTCTCAAAGCAGTCATTAATACTATAATATTAGACCTGTTTTTACAAAAATAGGATTCTTTTGTGAATGTTTACTATAAAACTAGTATTAGCCCCCAAAAGGGTGATGTTCAGAGTACATTTTGTATTTGTAGTATGCAACAGGGTGTCACATTCTGTAGACAATGTTCTTGAAAGAATGGCGTTGCGAAATAGGGGGCATCTCCAACTTGAGCGGCTAATAATCATACATTGTTGTTTTGAATTTGAAGTAACACGTCAGGATCAAGTCAATTTGTCTGTTTGGAACCAGAAGGGCGTTGGTTCTGTGTAATATATGATATGAGTTGAGCCTTTCTTGCTCTAAACAGACGATATGTTGTGAAGTGATTTGGTTGTTCTTAAAGGTAATACAAAGTTTTAGTAAGGGGTCATGAATTTGGTTCAAATGAACATATTGGAAGCATATACGATCCTACAATATTCAGTGATCGTTGTCCCTGTCGAAATTGACTCTAAAGTTATGAAATTGTAAATAATAAACACTTTATGTTGAATAGCTCCCTCTCAAGGTCAAGATATTAATTAAGCTATAAAACAATGTTTATTGACTAAAATCGACCGATTAGCTATTCTCGTTCGGAAATTATATACCACAACTACATACTCTGAAATTTTCATGGTCGCAGCTACCATTGTACAGCCGTAGGAGCTATTTGAAATTTATCACAATTTACCAGGAGCACTGGTAAATCTTTATATTCAATTTTTCTCGAAAGCAGAAGTGTTTTAGAGGCTAAAATTTCTGGTGTTTTTAATACATCCATAGGGGCATCTAAATATATCAAAATTGTAAAGAATCACTATCAGCTCATTTTTCAAAATTTCCCAAAACTTTATAATACCTTTAAGTTTGTTAAAAAATCAATTTCTCTGTCATGGTCTAGGGGTGGGGGGGGGGGGGGGGGGGACGACAAACACAGGTATTATCTGATGTGAGCCAAAAGAAATCAACTGTATGTACAAGTTTTTATGATTTTACACCCTCCTTACACTCATTAGATGATTATTGACATTTTATCTCATCTGTGTTTTAAGAATCTATTACACATCTCCTACAAAGTCTTTAAAGATACTAAGTCCCTTTTGCAGCAACATCAAATTCTGTAGAACTTTGCAGGAATTATGAATATGTCATGTACATGTCCTATCTGGAAAATTTAAACATTAGCAGTGTCCTAGTATTCAAATTATGCGACGAAACCTGTTTACCTTCTAGACTTCACTCTCAGACACTATTGAGTGACTGGCTGACTTTTTTTCTTTCTTTGGTAATAATATACTTAAAATGAGCTGCAACAGGTACATGAGCATTTGTCTACATCAATAACCCACTATCGTACCTGTAATAGCCAAAATCAACCTGATTAAATCTTTGTGAAGCACAATAAATACGACCGTTTGGTAAAAGGGTCTGAAAATCAGACTATTACTTAGGTGATTGCAATCACTTAAGTCAATTTTACAACTAAAGGTCGTTATTTTCCCACTAAAAGCCATTTTCAAGCCCTTTCGTTTTGAGGGAAGTTCTAAATTAGTATTGTCTTTCAAATGCTGTTGGAATTTTAACTTTTTCATTTTTGGCCTGTAAAGTGCAAATGGGACATAGTACCTTAAAGTGTTTATATTCATAATTTTCAGAAACATTGTATTTATTTTATTTTTGTTTTATTTATTATATTCATCCGGTGGCATGTATTTATTCTAATTATCATGTCAATTCTGACATGGGTGTTTTCTGCTTTTTGTTGGTGGTGTTGGGGGGGGGGGGGGGGTGTTCCCCCAGATATCACAAAACAAAAGAATTATTCCTTATACTTTTTATTCCACATAATTATACAGCTACCTGCATGACACCTCTCTGATAAATCAATCAGTTTTAGAGATTTGTTAAATGAAATTTATAAATAAGCAAAACCCAAGAGAAAATTCAAAACTTTCAGTGATGCATCTTGTGACTCTGTCTTGTGACTTTTAATGTTCATTACTTCTTTTATTATTCCAAATCATCAGTATTATTAGTTTTCTTCATTATGACTTGTGTATTTTTGAAGTGATCAATGTCATCATACTTTTTTGTCACCATACAGTCATATTTCTGGGAAGTTTCCATTCTCCAGAGGTGGTCTTTGAGCAACTCTCAATAATTTACCATATGCCAAGGTATATTTAATTCTACTTTTGCATTTGTCTTGACCCCTGAACGCACTTTCCATCTATGCATTCAAGTACATGTATGCAATCAGCAATTTTTTTTATAAATAGAACCAAATTAAAAGTGCCTCAATTGATATGAATCATTTCATTCACCTGTTACAAAAAAAATAATAATTGTATTTCAAATTTTCAATAGTCAGAATGCAAATCGCATGTATTACTTGTTGCTAGGTGGGGCAAGCCAACTAATGTATGCTACTTGCGATTTGACTATTGAGATACAGTTATTAGGCCTAAACAAAAGATGTTGTATTGCCCTTTGTGAGACTGACCCAACAATTTTGAAATCTTGGGTCGGCTTTTTAAAAAAGTTTTTTTTTTAACCGTTTTTTTAGAAAAAGAAAAAATGTACTAAAGGATTCAAAACTGAGAAATATCAGCCCAAAGAGGGAATTAAAATTTGTTTAAAAAGATTTCCGACCTAAAGGGCAATACAACATCTTCTTTTTTTAGGCCTTATTGAAAGGAGGAGAAATAAATAATTCGTACAGAGGCACTTCATAAAGACAATCGCCTATTTGTCAAGTTTTCCTTAAAGTTTACATTCCCTCTTTCTCTTGCCTGGTATTTCATACATGTACATTTTTGTTGTTTGTTTTGGTTTTGTTATTTTTCTATCATGATTATCATCATAATCATCATTGTTTACATTATCAACACAATCCCCATCAAACTCATCAGCATCATCATTCTCATTGGTGTCATTCTTTCTAAAGAAAGTCAGCTCACTATGTACTGACTTTTAAATAGACCTAGAAAAGATTAAAGCAAGAAATATCTACAAAATTCAGTTAAATCCTACCTAACAGGTTGGGTATATCATTTTGAATCAAGGAGCAATCTGTAAAAATCCAAGTTTACTTTCCCTAAAAAGAGTGGTTATTCTAAAGAATATTATAAACATCTGAGATATTTTTCAATTTTTGGCATTTTACTTGGATTCTCAGGATTCATTCATGGCTCTCTATTTCTTTTAGGTATCTAGCGAGATCATTCAAGTTTATCCTACCTTACTTTCCTACTGGTACTATGGAAAGGATAGATACAGAAGGCCAAGTAGCTACAGCAAAGGTAACCATTTCTTTCTCCTCTCGTTAAGCCTCGTTTACATATATGAGATCACTATTCTATGCGGATCTCAAATTGGCAATACGGTCACGATGTAATCATGGACAATTTTCCCATTTGTTGTGTACAACTGTCTTCTCCAAAGTGCCTCCTCCCTTGGGGCACTACTCAAAATGTATAATACTGTAAGTCCTCTATAACATAACAAAAAGCTCCTAAGCAATATTTTGAAAAATGTACAATGTAGTCATTTTGTGTTTTGGAACAATTGAGAAAGGTGTCCAACACTACAACGCAGTTACATTACTTATTCCGCCAAGTTGAATCTCATAAGTGTACCGATTACATTTCATCTTTTTTGTCTGTTTTCATTCAAACTTTCTTTGGCATCAGCCAAGAGACAGTAGTTTGTGGTAAATTGGAAATTCTTCTCCCATATCATGATAGCAGAAACTCTAGAAAGTGTTTCTTGAAACTACCTATATTATCTTGTGGAAACCATGCAATACAGCAGTCTACCAAATGTATTTAAAAAAGGTTGATGGTATTAAAGGAAACCACAACTTAACTTCGTAGTTTATATAAAATTGACCTAATCATGGCACCGCTATGTAAACAAATATAATAAAGAACAGAAGTTAAATCAGCAACTTAGTTTACAACATGGCATCCAAATTTTTAGTAATATTCAAGTCATTTCAGTAGGTAGTACATGTACATGATCATTTTGGTAATCTATAATGTTATCCAGTATGGTGGAATTATTTTGTTTGTTTGATTGATTTTATTTCTGCGTTCAAAAATATACAAATTCAAAGTCAAAGTACAAAATTTCGAACAATAACAAATACAATGAATACAATGTTTACAAAAGTAATTAAATGAAAAATCATGTACAATTATATCATTCGATAAACATGTACGAAGCATACAATAACATAAGAAATATGAAATATTTTCAATAAATTAGAGAGGTAATTCGTAACGCAGGAGACCACCATCGTGAGCGGTTAGGCTGGAGATGGATGGCGGCCTTATAAACATAAATGAGCTCAAATTTTGAAAAAATATTTTCTTCTAATAGTTTTTTGCTTTTTAATTGGGTGTTTTACCATGTACAGGTTCTGGCAATGCTGCTTTCTGCTATCCCTTCAACAGCTCGGGGACCGGCTCAGATTGTCATGTTTGACATCCATGCTCTGCCAGAGAGATTCTACTTCTCTGATCAGGTCATTCCAAGGTGATCCCTTACACTGTTCATTAGCCCGGGGGTGGTATTCTGAAAACAATGCTATTTTTTATGTTAGTAAAAACAAAACAAAACAATTTAATGTCTGTGCGAAGCTGTTGGCACAAGGTTGAAAGAGACATGATAAGTATTAAGTTCACTAATTTCAGTTTGTTATGAAAATTAGCACTGTTTTCCTTAACATGACAGATAACATTGTTTTCAGAATACTGCCCTAGTACTTGTATTAGTGCCAAAGGAGGCCTACATTTTATGAATACTGTACATGTAGATGTGAGCATTAAATTATTCATTTCAAAACTTTACTCTGAGACTAACCGATTCTATTTCGGGGAAAAAGGCATTGCAATTCTTGGTTCAAACATTCCCTTGCTGGTCATGGGCTGCCACATTATTGAGAATGTTGTACACTGTAGGTTTGATAGAGCAAAGAAAGTGAAATGCAGCAATTCCCTGTTTGTCCCATTCTAAAGCTTCTAAAGAGTTAACATGAATATTTTCAATCCTTACTAGACTGGAATCGGCCATTCCCTTGCTGGTGAAGGAGATCTTTAACATGCCTGACGATGTTCAGGCAAACCTCAGCGTTGCATACCCAGATGAAGGTGCCTTTAAGAGATTCAATCATATGTTTGAAGGCTTCCCGAGCATCCTCTGTACCAAGATACGAGATGGAGATCAGAGGATTGTCTCCATCAAGGAGGGTCAGTATCCTCTCTTCCGTTTTCTTCTCCTTCTTCTCCTTCTTCTCCTTCTTCTCCTTCTTCTCCTTCTTCTCCTTCTCCTTCTTCTCCTTCTTCTCCTTCTCCTTCTTCTCCCTCTCCCTCTTCCTCTTCCTCTCCCTCTTCCTCTTCCTCTCCCTCTTTTTCTTCCTCTTCCTCTTCCTCTTCGTCTTCCTCTTCTTCCTCGTCATCATCATCATCATCATCATCATCATCATCCTCCTCCTCTTCTTCTTCTCATTCTTCTTCATTTTCAGTTGCATTTTCTTCGGTTTCTTTGTCTTTTTCTTTTCATTTCCTTCTTCATTTCATTTTTCATCGTCTTTTCTTTATCTTCTTGTCCTTCCTAGTCTTTAAAAAAAAAATCTTCTTCTTTTCTTTTAAGTCACATCTTCTGGCTTCTTGTTTTCCATTTTTCTTGTTTTTTCTCCTCTGCTTCTACTTCATTCATTTTTAAAATCATCATCATTATCATCATTTATTTCTTTTTCACATTTTTCTTCTACGCCATTTTCTTCTTTCTTTTAATTTTCTCTTCTTCTTTTACTACCAGGCAACTTATTCATACAATCCTTCCATGTACTAAAAATGCTCAAATTTCCTTTGTTTATTAAATCCAGGTGAAACGTTCGGTCGTCATGTCATCATCATAGATGATCTGATACAGACTGGTGGTACACTGATAAACTGTGCCAAGGTAAGAATTAGTCCTTCAAAACGTTAAATAGATAACAATTTGAGAGGATGATAGAAGGAAAAAAGTGATTTCATCCTTATGGAACCATTGATACACGATGATGGATAAGTCAATACATGAAGATGAAAACAATCTGTCTCTCAATCTTCAAATATAATTATTATCTTTTTTTTACTGTTTTTTTTTTGGTTTTTTTTTGCATGGATAATTCAAGAAATGTTGCTATGGACTTGGGCCCATTTTGATATCATTTAATTTTGTTGTCAGATAGGAACTAGTTGGGAGGGGGAGGGGGGGGGGGGGGGAGGGGGAGGCGCATATGCTCCTCATAAAATTCAGTTTCTATAGACACAGGTGGTATTTCTATGCAGGTGGTTGCTAAAGCAGATTTGACTGTTTTAGTAGTTTTAAACTGTTATTATAATTTGTTATTGATAAAAAATTTTATCAAACAGGGACCCAATTATTCTTTCTGCTTTCTGATTTGACTTCCAGGTTTTACAGAAGCATAGAGCTCTCTCTGTGAACGCCTTTGTGACCCATGCGGTCTTTCCTGAGCATTCCTGGAAGAGGTTCACAGAGGGCGACGTCAAATTGGACACGTTCTGGATCACGGACTCTATCCCTCATGCCAAGCATATCGCCCAGCATCCTCCGTTCAAGCTCCTCTCGTTGGGGGATGCCATCTCAGAGACACTGCTCAGCTATGACCTCAAGGAGTGAATCATCTAATAATAATAATAATAATAATCTTTTAAAATCCACTCCAAATTTTATTAAGGTAAACCGAAAATGGAAATTCTTTTTGCCAAATTGATCGTGAGCCCGGCAGCCACTGAGCAGCGCTAGATAGACGTTGCTCTATCCCTTATTGTTGAACGCCAAACAAGGTAGCAGCAACTCCCGTCTTTTAACGTCTTTTGGTATGACGCGGCCGGGGTTCGAACCCACGACCTCCCGGTTGTGAGGCGGACGCTATACTGACTGAGCCAACACACCGGTATCTAAGGATGATTTAACCCGTTTTTAATAATATTATTTAAAATTATTTATTGAAACAACTCTCATACATAATAATAATTACATGTTCTTATAGACAGAATTTATAGTAAAATCTGGTGTTATAGTTAACTCATCAGCAAAAATCACTTATCTTGTTAAGTATTTTTGTTTAAAACCTGGTTTTACTGATTCCACTGATGTATGAAGCACCAAGTGTCAACCTCTCTATTTTGTATAAATCAGCTTAATTCCGTCTGTGACATAAGGAATAATCAAAATCAAAGTGTACCAATCGTCTGAAGAAACTTGTGTACAGCTAGAATGTATAAAATCAACCTCAAAAAATTTAAAGAGAACGTTGAGTTCTGGGAAGAGGTGAAAAATAATTTGTGAGCGTTTCATTGTTATTTTGCAAGTGTGGAAGAACATCAGCTTAAAAATGTTCCCTGAAAAGCATGGCTCTTCAAATGCCTTAATATTCTACATATAGCATGATACATCATAAAATTGGGATGGATTTTTATGCCCATATACATTTTTCTGTATACAGTGCTGGTAACTTTATCAAGACTGGGCCAAATTTCTTATCATTTTGATGATTCCAGAACGTTACAATACACACCAATAGTTATATGCTTGATGATCAACCTTTTCTGATCGATTCCACAATGTTTCTTTCACAATGCACTGGCATGCCCAGAACTCAACTTTATCTTTAACCTGTCATAAAATGAAAACGATGAATCAATTTCATAATGACAAATTGTGTGATTGTTTAGTTACAGAATTATAGTTACTGTAAAATAATATCTGGTAATGGAGACAGGGATGCCAGTTTTCAGTCCCTGGCTAATTATTTTCAGGCCATAGTTTAGGCTTTTTTTGTATACAAAATAGCTAATTCTAGGTGATTTTCAGGCCCTCTGATCAATTCTAACTGGCATCCCTGTGGAGAGGTTGACGCTTAAAATTCCATAAATAGTGGACTAAGACTACCCAATAGTACTTCAAGTTGGTAAACTTTTGTCAATACTGGCTTAATTACATGCAGGCCTATTATTATTCAGTGCAATATTTCAAATGAAGGATTTATCAAAGTTTTGCAATATTCATTATTTGTTCTAGAATGGTGGGAATGAGATATTTATATATTAGATTTATCAAAATATAAAAGCTGATAAAGGTCAGTCAATAACCGCGGATCATGGAGCTACATCATGTATTATTGTAGAAGATTGATGAAACAAAACAGAGAGGGCAGATGATCATACAGGATTATTTGATATTCAGGGGCCAGTTTCACAAAACCGTCATAAATCTAAGTTCTTGGACATTCAATAGAAGCATGTGTTTCATAATACACATGTGTGTCAATAGGATGATCATGAACATAGACTAACGACAGTTTGGAGAAACTGGCCCCCTACGTTATAAAATCAATAAAATACTGCAATATAGCATGTATTTCAAGAAAACACCATGTTCATTCCCCCTTGCCATGGCTTATAACTGAATAGAAATCTTTATCTAAAATATTAATGAAATAATTTGTTGTTGAAAATATGATTGAAAGTGTTATATTATGCATTGCATATTGATTATAAAGGTTATTGGTTGGAATTTCATTTCAAAATCATCTCTAATTTCAAGGAGGACGTATCATGCATAAGAATAATTTCTTGCAATTACACATTTGCAAATATAATAAAATCTTTTGTTACATCATCTATACTGAGAGCCAGAAGGGTTTTAGCTCTGTGTGGGAGTATACGAGTTAACACCTCTCTGGTTCTCACCAGAAGACTTTTAATGTCTTTTCAATTTTAAGAACATTGATTGATGATCAGTGAATGCTTGACTATGAACAGTTTGTTTAAATATTTTCACTGTTCAGGGTCCTGTTTCACAAAACTTGTCATCAGTGACAATTGACAGTTTTTGTTATAAGCTACTGAAATCCTTGCTTCTGATTGGTTATCAGCAGATTTGTCATTGAAAAAAGGCTTTGTGAAACGGGTCCCAGAGCCAAAAGGGCATTAATTCTGTAACATATATATATATATGGTATATATAGAGTGGAAAACCCTGATGGTCCATCATGGTATATAATAGTAGAAGGGTTACTGCCCTACTGGCTCCAAACAGAAGATTTATGTGTAAATGAAATTTACTAATGTAACCTTCTTCAACTTTAGGTACTCTATAATATCATGTGCTGAGAACCAGAGAGGCGTTAACTCCATTTAAACAGACAATCTAATGTAACCAATACAGGACATACATTTTTGTATGCAGATGTTTCTGCATTTATTGATAAATCAAATACAAAACATTCAGAGTAACAATGATAGTATATAATATAATTTATTTACATAAAGATTGACATCTGAAATACACACAAATAAAAATGCAATCAAAACATCCAAATAACAATAATAGTATATAAATATAATTTATTTGCATAAAGAGTGACAACTGAAATACATGAAAATGCATAAATATATAATTGAAAACTTGAAAGTATGGAGGTAAGTTAAAGAATCAAGATCTGGATATATCCTGATTTTATCATGGTATACTCTATGAAACTATTGTAAATTATCTGTGCTCATTGACTTTTCAAATGTGTGGTGCATCAGTTGTGTGTAGATATTTTACTGTTGATACACAATTATGTAATAAATAATCATGTAATTAGCGTGTAATAATCATGTTATTAGTGTGTCTTTCGGATGGTGATGTTAAAGGTCGGTCCCCAGATGTAAATATTCATATCTGATTGATACATGTCTGTAAAAACCCAATTACATACACATCATTACACACACACACTTCTATATGAACACTATGTGGTAAAGGTTTACTTTTGATTTATTATATTTATTTTTATTTATACAGTAAAATCTGTGTCTGAACATTAAATGTGGTTTTACAAGTATAAACATTTTACTTGATGCATGATATAAATGCAGAGCATACTTAGGGTAGCTTAGCGAAATGTAAGGGCTCGAAAATGACACATCCAGAATGCAAAATGCATTATTGTGGAAAACTATTATTTTATCACACAGAGGTAAAACTGCATCGTTAGGATCTGGAACTTGTAAATACATATACAGTGTAGTACATGTATCTTGATTAGGCTTAATATTAGGTATAGTAATAATTTACCTTTTAGTTTACACATAACCATTTATGTGTATGTACATTTACACTTTGATGTATAACTGATCAGTGTATACTTGAAATGGTAACATAGATGCAGTTTATGATCATATTGCAATCAATGTATATATAGTTCCGTTTCCAATGTAACAATCATTTTCAGAATGTTCTTATGTTTGTGACGTTGTACATTTGCTATTATTGTACTGTGTATTTCTTCTTGTATTATGTATTATGTACAATAACTGTTAAACCAGTGAAAAAAAAGAATTTCTGGGAAGGGACAATAAATGGCAATTCAATTCAATTCAATATCATGAAAATTCATGTTAAACAACTGTATGGTATAATCATGATATATCTTTTACTTTTCATACAATCATCTTTATGTTTGAAATTATTGCTTGTGATATGAAACTGCTATGTGCAAGTATTATTAGTATATGATATTGTGTAATAACATGGCATTAGTGTAGAACACACCTGGTAAAATCATGTCAATTCTAGTGGAAATATATTCATCATTCATGCACCTAGTTTTATGAAGAATCAATGTATAATACAAGTGTTGACATTTTGATTGATTTTATGCTGAGTACCTTGATATTTAATCAATTAATTAGATATATTCTTGCAATCTTTTCTACCTTTTTTTAAAAGAAATCTTTCATGATACTGAGGATTATTGTTTCTTGTAATTAGTTCATGTACTAAATTAGAGAATGCTTACTTTGTATGCCTGGTTAAGGTTGTTGTGCAAGGTAGATTTTTAGAATTAGTTGAAATATGTACATCTACTAGTGTGTGACATGTAGAATAAATTCTAGAAGAAAAAACTCTTTAAGCATTGAATAAGCCTATCGTCACAAAGAAAGCCATTTTTTGAAAACATAATAGGGCATTTTTGTAAAGTAACCACATTTTACTGCATTTGTCTTAGTGAAGTGCCTCAAAAACGAATTACATGTATTCTATTCACTTGTTATGAATTAACAACAGACATCATGGCTTGCCCTAGTTAACAACATGTACTATTGAATACAATTTATTAAATTGGATAAATTACAAAAATGGCCCATTGGTTCCATGAGATAGAAATTGTACTTAATCATGAATGAGAAAAACTAGCTATACTTTAACACAGCCTGATGACAATCACAATAAATTTGGTAAACTTTAAACTGTGTGATAAAATTGAATGCATGAATCTTTGTTAATTGCCATGTCACAATTATTTCATTCGCCTGTTACAAATAATTGTATTTAAATAGCTAGAATATGATTTGCATACAGTAATAGTTGCTAGGTTACATAACATGTAATGTATGCAATTTGCATTCTGACTATTGAAATACAATTATTTGTAACAGTTTAATGCAATTTGTATAATTTTTGTATAGTGGTATTTAAAATGACAAGCATTTATTTCAAGGGAGATCCATTTCATGATATGGTTTCCCTCCAAATGGGAATAAAAAGAATTTTTGACCCTTAAAAAAACTTGGGCTTAATTTTCCCGTTAAATCAGTTACCTAAAGCATTAATTTGTATATAATTTTATACCTG